CACATGCTCTGGATTTCCTTAAAATAAATAAATACTTGAAAAAAGACTTGACTACCACCTCGGACACTGGGGCAGCCCCCCCTAAAGGAGCAGTTATTTTAAGAGCAGGGATTGTAGCATAAACAAGCACACGCAACAGACACTCGTTGTACTTTTCCAGACCTTGACGATCTTGTCAGTGCCAGAGGTGAGCAGATTCCCAGTGGTGGGCTCGTAGTGCATGTAAACAATGCTGTGCTTGCTGTCGTGGAAGGTGGCTGTGGGTGCTCGACTGCAAGACACAAAGGCAGCGCCAGCGGTTATAGTGTGCGAATCACTGGGAAAGCTACAAAGGCTCAGTATATGACAACAACAGAAGCTGATTGTTACTCACTCCTCGTCACTGATGGACTCGTGGCAGCTGTCACACACGCGCACCTCGAACTCGAATCCCATGAGGGGGATGGTGGAGCGTTTGGACGAACATTTGCCGCACACTGCCTGGCCGCACTTCCTGCAGTGGTGCTGAGCACACAGGAGGACATGAACACATCAGCTTTAATTTAACATCTTATTTCTCATCAAAGAAATGGAGGTGGTGTTTTGTTTTGTTTTGTCTTACGATGAAATTAGCAAATTTATACTCCGAGTCAAGGCCAAGTTTTGAACTTTGTGTTTCGAAAGCTACAAGAAGATACTGGTTGTGATGCATTTTGATAATTCCTATCCAGCAGACAATCTCTCTCTCTCTAGGAGACTGTGTGAGTCTGCAGACAGCTGCAGCACACACACTTCATCACAGCTGTAAGTCTGGATGAGACTTTGAGGAACGTTAACATAACACTGACCCGTGTCCAAATAACAGAATCAAACTAGCAATGTTAACTAGCGATGCAACGATACCAATTTTTTCAAACCGATACGATACCGATACTTGGATCTGAGTACTTGCCGATACAGAGTACAAAAAACAATACTTCTAACACACACACACAAATGCAATTAATTGGAAGACAGGTTTTATTTTATTCTCTGCCGATAAAAAATAAAATCTTAATAAAAATGACCACAAAAAAATTTCAAGTGAAAAATAAGCACTTCTGTTAAATTATTGCAGAGTCTCCACATTGTAATTTTACAAAATA